TTAAACGCTGCAAGTATGAAATTATGCCGAAATGGCAGTAAATGTCAATATCAGACAGATATTCTTGCTTTGCCACCCTGAACTTGCCTTGCATGTCTTAAATCAGATGCATACAAAGCGCTGGACCCTCTGCCGAAGGCCGACCACTGGACGTGGGTGAACAACTTCCACGACAACCGGGACCGTCCCACGTGTCTACGGTGTGCGCTTGTCGGGGACTCTGTAGTACAGAAAGGAACCGGCAGGGGGGCAGGATATAGACGACCATGACCTGGTTATCAGGTTAGTAGTAGTACTAGCATGGAAAGATAACCATAGTATATGAATGGATTAAATCTAGCGCGTACTGCTCCTGTACAAGTTGGACGATGAATGAGTAAACTACAGTAACGTAACACCATATGCACTAGTGTATTCCATACATAATGTATTCTTAAGGGATGCTTTTTTTAAATACGAAAATGCAAAACTATCATATCTGTCACATCAGAGTTGGCGATGCTGGGACGGACGGTCATGAAGACGATGTGGGGACGAAGACAAACTTATACCTGTACAACCCAGAAATACCAATCGACACAGGCAACATCAAGAAACATGCGGTACGTGCAATAGGGGACCTTCCCAGTGTGAGTGGTTCAAACCTTACAGTCTTGTCTCAGGTTTGACATCTTGAAGAGGTGATAGTCACCTGTTATAATCCTTCCATAGATGTTGTAAAGCTTCATAAATGTAAATGTTGAGTGGTAGTATTGGAACTCATTTCAAGTGCTATAAGAGATTCATAAGACAATGCTGATACTCACCAACGTTAGTACGGTATAAACATTCTCTCGTATATTTCATTTCGGCAGGATGTATACTTTATCTACTTGGCATCAAAGGTATCTGACTACCACCTGATCTCCAAAGTGATAGAAGAAGAGCCACAGAATAACCATCACGGGTAAGTTTATAATCTGTACCTTTCACGCGTATGTATGGTCTATCACTCAATCAGTCATCCGCAGCCTTATCAGGTTCTGATGCATGGCGGCTGCAGACATGGACAGGTCCCGCCAGGTGGCTCTTTTCGCGGCACAGACCCTCCAGTCAGTTTTGGTGATCTTCTGGTGATCCCCAGCCCCTGAATTCAAATTGTGTAGAAGGCCCAGTCTTTCCATCGTCCCCTTGATCGATCCCTTGGACGGGTTAGGTCTATCAGTGGAAATGTATAAATGATATACGTATAGTATATGATATATACTTTCCTACTATTAAATAATGATCCTATCGCCTTGTAACATATACATGGAGTATATACAGTATACTAGTGACATCAGTGGATATACAGATGGTATGTGACACTGTATATCATGTATACCTTTCCGCTGACGGACAGCGAACTAGTTATATAGGTATAAAATATGCACCGACGTCTGTAACGTTACAATCTTCTTACTAAGGTGTTTCATTTCCCAGTTCCAGAACGGGACAGAAGGTGATCATCAAGCCTCAGCAGCTCCGTGTTTTACATCCGGACTTCCTCAACTACGTGTACGAACTGTGAGTACATTAGCCTTGAGTCCAACCTTGTTAGCTTTAGCGTGATTAAAGTTGAAACTAACATTTGTACATGTCTGTGTATAGTGAGCACTCTAAAACAAAATATGCTTCATCTTCTACACAGTTATCGTTACAGAAGATACAAATTCTGTCATTTGGAGGGGTCTGGTTGTACTTTAATACGAACCTCTAATTTCTTCTTCCGTAGGTGGCTGGAGAGGGCTGGTCACAAGGCTACCGCCGCGCAAGTCATGCTGGTCCTCGCCTTGCACATCTGTGATGAAGTCGACACGTACGGATACGGCAAACCCCCAGCCGACCCTCCCGACGACAACGTGCAGGAATCGCACGACTACTTCTATCTCACGAAGGGCATAGACAGACCGGTGTACAACCATCTGTTTGAAAAGAAACTCCGGCACAAAATGGAGCAGGAAAGACTCGTACAGATGTTTATGCCATAATCGGGCGAGGTTTTGTATATTCTCAGAAGATATTATATATCAGAATCTTCAAGCAGATGTTTCGGTGGCTGCAAAGACTGTATCAAATTGGCCAGGCTGTATACATTTGCCAGAGAGATCAACCATTTGTTGAGGACTCTCTCTAGATGGCCAGGGCAACTAGAATTCACCACAACGTCGGTGCATTTTCTGAGCAGATATTTAAACAAGAATCTGGATTTTTTAACTCCTCCTCCTCTTTACAGGCAACTGGCAAATCATGGTATCGACCATTTCAGTCTTCGACCTCGAAGAAAAGATCGAAAGAATGGCGGGCATTGATGTTGTTGAATCGTAATAATATACAGTGTCACTGCCAATACCTACCGTTCCTATTTTAGTCGCTAGGGCGCCAGACAGGAGTCACCTTGAACTTGTACCATTGAAATTATAGCGCTTCTGAGCGTTCACGAGTGATGCGAGGTCTATGGACTGTTTTGTGAAAATCCTCAATAGAATCAACGCTTTACAAGTGTTTTTAAACCAGTCTTGACGTTAGTGTTCATCTGGGAAATATCAAGTTTACCCCGTGCACGTAGTCCGCACCAGAACACGTAGCCTATAGCTACTCATACAGTATCATGTAACTAGGAAATGATGCAACGCAATCGCTTTGAGCGCATCATAAAGTGACCCTGTGCCAAACGATAGTCAGGAATAGAACAGTGCCATGGTGATGTGTTTTCCTCGTAAGGATGGCCTTGGACATTTGCTATCAGTAATATCTACTCCAGAGACAAGAAATTCGTTGATTTTACTCTTTAATTTTGACTGTGTGTGTGATATTTGTGATGTATCAAACGGACATGTACATATAATTACAACAGAAAGCAAAGCAACTTCTGAGACACTTGGATATATGCCTTTATAAGTTCTGACATCGCTGAATGACATTTCGTTTGTACTATTCTGTAGTATATTAGCTTCGTATGCAACCATGTATGAACGCACAAAAAAGTAATCAAGAAACGAATGCTTTTACTTGTCGAGTGCATTTCCGAAAAAATGGGTTGCATGTATGTAAAAAGAACTCAAATTTTCTCTATTATTCAAAAGTTGCTCAGACTGCAAAAACACCGTTTATCTTCAAGATCGATAACCCAAGATGTTACCACGCTTCATATTAACATTTTGTAAAAAGTTAACTCACAAGGTCTTGTTTGATGTATATTGCTTATTCTGTATATACATGTGCATAGCTAGATGTTATCATTTCAGATATTATATTGCTTGAGGCTCAAAATAAAAGGGTCTTATTCAGGTCTTATTACTCATTGTGGTTGTTTAATGCATGTCTATGTGTATAGGGTGGATATTGACAAGTTTCTTAAGTCAAGTGTTTGTTTGTTTGTCTGTTTACTGAGATCCCCATTATTCCATACTATTCTTCCTGGAGTCCAGAAACATAAAATAAGATAATTATGATAATGATAATTACTTTTAGCAATAATGACAATAAATAAAACATACAAAATTATGCTGAAATCATAACAGACTTGAAACAAAATCAGCATAGAGAAATAAAAGTGCATTAGAGATCATGGGTCAAATAATGGAAATAATGTGGCAAAACAAGTACATATATCTGCTTACAGCTCAAGGCAAAATATAGAACTTGTGCGTCACACGTGTGCGGCACCCTAGAGGCAGTGCAGTCGCTTGTTGTCGGTACGGGGCAGCTCTGAAGCCGGCGTTTGTCACGTACAGGCGACCGAGCGTAAGGAAAGTACACTACCGGCATGAAACGTCCTTAATCCTGAATTCCTACACTGAAGAGTACCATTCATCATTTCACACGGGTTAAAACCTCTGTCACACAATTTAGAACTTTCCAAACCGGAGCAGTCTGGTCATATCTACCTTTCCATACGAATCGAATTTGAGTGAAATTTGAGTCAATTTTCACTGTCAACCACGCCCCGACCTACTCCCGAACACCAGCCAACCACCAGCCAACCATGGCCGAACATTTTGAAACATTCGGTTGCCGCAACCGGAGTGGTGTCGGAGAAATATACACTGCATTATACATTAAAGACATCCAGTGCAATTTCAGGGTGGCAAAACTGCAAATATTCTGAATAAGGCAATTTGTGTGATATTGACACATACTGCTTCACATTTTAATCGAAATACTAAAGGCGTTAGAATTGCAGAAACAAGCCCCGAGATGAGTCCTTTATTTTCTGGTTGGTACCCTTAAAAATTAACCCAGGTCCTTAAGGAACCTTTTTCCGTCAGAATTTTCGGCACTGGGGCTCCATGAATGTCGATATATATTGGGATAGTATTGTTTTAACTCAGTATGTAGATGAGTGACTAGAATATTGACTTTGAAAAATCTGGTTTCCAAGCCCTAAAAACTGCACTGGATGCCTTTAAATCTTGATTTCCAATGAACTACGTATTACACATAGGTCTGTTCTTTTGTTATAATATATTGATAAAGACTATCTATGACCTACTCTCCAAGCAGAGGTTGGTGGGGAAGATTGTGACCTTTCCTTCATATGCCCCAGTTTCTGTCGCTATATTCCGCGGGATCCGAAAGTATAGAAATATAGAACTTTATTGACACAACAAAAGTACAGCGACTTTCGTAAGGTCTTAAACTACATGTAGACATACAGACAGATACGTGGGTACAACAAGAGTAACCTACGTACAAAACTACAGATGAATCAAATTATACTATTAGTACTTGTTCTAAAGTCTAAACATTTTATATGATATTTCTAGAATGAAATTGAATTCACCTATAGCATAAAATGTAACAAATTCCGTTGAGCAAGCAGTATAGAGTAGCGACAGAAAACGGGGCATGTGATAGAAGGGTCACAATCTTCCCCACCAACCTCTGCTTGGAGAGTATGATCCCCGATCAGCCAGCCTTAAGTGTTTGTGAAACCCGAGTCCAGCCCGTTATGGAGACTTACGCACGACAGTCTTACATGGAAGTATGAAATTTCTCTTTAATGTGGCAAGCGCCCTTGCAACAAGGTCATATACACAACAGTCTGGCGAACGCCAGCCAGAGATCGGTAATTCTATACAATACACGGGCTCAAGCCAACTCAAAGTTACAATAACAATGTTTCCAACCTATTTACTCTTTAATATCACGAGCTGTTTGCAGCACAGTATGCTTTGGCATAGCAGAATTGTTGACTTCAAAAATAGTTTGTTTCTTCTTGCCGTAGCGATTAGTATATAGTTCCCTTTAGTACTTGTAGTAATATAAAAGCTTTCAGCCTTCCGACAAGCCTTCAGCAGTTGTTAATAATGTTCATGATATAGCTTCTAAAATAGTGCATCAATTGTTACAAAACAAAAACTCAATCGAAAATAAACTGTTCGGTATCCAAAACCTTCGTATAATATATTACAATGTCAGTCAGTGACGGGTGTGGACGAAATAACACGTGGAAGACATTGTATTATGTTGAATGGATTTCTGTTATAACTACTGAGTTACAATATAGGGTATGTAGTAATAGTTGTGATAGTTGTAACAACTTTTACCTCACAGGATTGGTTCCGGATGTTTGATGATGATGATGATGAGAGGGTTTGCAGTCACGTGATTATGACGTCATTCAGCGTCCTCCATGTTGGTGGGTTACAGAGGAGTGTCAACTCACCACGTGGCAATGTTCTAAACAGTTCCCACTGCCTCAGCATATCCGCCTCTTGTCTCTCCATACATAGGGAGCGCCCGAGTATAAATAACTCTTTTCTTGGAACCATATTGTCTGTGGTTTTCAGACTGGCCGGTCGCCACCTTGGACCTGCGAATCCCTCACATAGTGATGACGTTATACCGTAGTACCGGCCGTAGCGCTTTATCCTGGTGGATTTTGAATTGGAACAGAACGCGTGTTCTATTTGGAGTCATGATCACCGGGACTAGCGGGGTTTATGGGATTTTACGAAGGTGGCCTTTTGTTATATCATCAACGGTATACCGGCACCCGACACCACTGACAGCAGAACATCTTTGGTAACGTGTAACAACTGATCAGTCACCTCCTCGCTCTGGTATTCTCAATGGTAAAGCAGCGCGAGTGTTTTGGGTGCGTTGTTACCGAACTGCGAGTTTGAGGCATTGGTAAATAGTATATTATATAAGGTTTAGAATAGCACCTCCATCCTGCATTGTTGGCTTGCTAGAACGGCGTATTTTCTGCTGTTAGTAATTCTGTCTACAGTCCCTGGAAGCGGCTCTTTATTTATTTACAATGACAGTAACGTTCTTTGGTGACACGTCGTCGAACAACGTATATCTCATTCAAAACTCCTCCAATTTTTTGTTTACCTATCATCCGTTGCTTGGCAACGTTAAAACCTGCTGCAGTCGTCGACTCTTTCGAGAAACTCTCGAGACTGCCTGTGACTTCTTCTAATCTCGGTCCCGCGTCTCATCTAACCTGTAGTATTATTACATGGCAAGTTCCATAAACTCAGGTTGATGGTTGATCCTCGCTCTTGTGCACATCTCGCAGAAGAGCCGCCCTCTCACGGTGTAGTAGCCTTTCTGCTTCAGGTTGCAGTGGCAGGCGGAGCACGTGAAGCATTCCGGGTGGCGAGGCTTGCCGTTCACCTTGACGAAGACGCCTTTGATCATGCCCAGGCAGGCGTCGCACTGGGGCAGGGTTTGTGGCGCTTCCTTCTTGGGGTTGGCCCTGGGAATGGGCGGTCTCACGCTGCGGAAACCTCTCGGCACATCCTCTGTTTGCTCGAGCTCGGCGATGGCCTGCCCTAACGGCTGCTGGCGCGGGGCCGGGGGTTGTCTGGGGCCGGCGTGTGCCCGTACCGGAGCGTACGGCGCGGGCTCGCCCTCGGGATTCCCGCCCCAGCCCTTCGGCGCGGTGTTGAAGTTGCTGCCGACCGGCTCGAACTCGTCCTTGTCCGCCTTGAGCGACACCTTGACCGTGGGCTGCAGGTACGGCGTGTCCTCGCTGCGGGTGTAGCTCGGCGTGTACTTGGGCCGCCAGACCTTAGGCTGCGCACGGCCCAGCACCAGGCTCAGCGACCCGCCGTTGATGCAGAGCTTCCTGAGGGCCTCAGACTTCCCCATCTGCTGCGTCTTCTCCAGCCCGATCTGCAGCAGCACGTCCCCCGGCAGGATGTTCGCCATGTGCGCCTTGCTGCCCATGTCCACCTCCGCAACCGTCAGGTCCGTGCCCACCTCCGCCCCGCCCTCCAACTCGAACCCCCAGGGCGGGGACCCCATCAGCGTCACCCGGATCACAGACGGAACCACGTCCATTTCTCCTGAGTCTCCCGAAACTTTGGCTCGTGTATCAGTCCTGCAGAAACACAAACATGTACCCACAGGTTAGTCATGGCACAATCCTACATACATAGACTGTTATTGAAAAAGTTATAGTCCTTTCCGCACCTGGTGGTGCATAGGGTGACGCCGATCTCCGGTTCAATGCCCTTGGGTCACAAAGTACTGCAACAGGGGGCTAGTGTTTAACTATACCATACTCTTTCAGAGTGCTATGCAGAGAAAGCAGTATGTACCAGCTGTTGGTATGACTCGGTCGGGGATCGAACTCACGAACTACCGAATGCAAGGCGAGCACTCTACCACTTGCCCATTGCATCGGTTCAATAGACAGATGAGAACGTATTCATGCCACCTCAGAACACATTGTATAGAGGGTTTCTATGAAAGAAACCAGCACTTATTCATTTTGTCAGTGTGTTTTCACCTATTCGTGAATATGCTCTGTTCTTGTAGCCATGCATGTAAGAAAGAACATCTCTTTACAGTTTCCATGTCCCTGTTGTCTAACTATAGCGTTTCATCACCTTGGACATCCCCCATGTTATATGAAGGTTACCGCCTGCAGTGTTGGTCCTGCACGACTTGCCTGTGCGAAACATGGGCCATCGGAAATTAAGATACACTAACTTATCTAAATTTACAAACATTTGTTTGTCTGTTCGATGGATACAAAAACTACAGAAGAAATGGTAACAGCACAAAATATACATTACATATGTACATGTTACAGCTCCTGTATGGTTGGAACCGCAATGTGGAATCTGTTCTCTGTATCTGCTTTTGTTTTATAACTGACCACAATTATGCATATATCCAACCCCTGTACGTTTGGGACCGCATTGTAGATATAGTTCTCTGTATATGTGTAGATATGTAAATATTGTACGTTTGGGAATGCATCTATAGCAGCGACACCTGTGCTGCAGTGCAATGTGAACCTGTCAGAATCTCCCTGAGGAAGGTGACAGACGGTCTCCAAAACGTCGGCAGAAAAAAGACTTCATTGGGTAAAAAGAATCTCTTTACTCAGCACAAAAAAAGTTTTCGCCCTCCATTACCGTAAGATTATGTAACAACAGGACCAAACGATGGGTCTTATTTTCCTTGGTACGTGTTACCCGATTGTCGCTGACTGAGTTCTGACCTCCTGAACTCATGATCCATTAGTGTTTCTGTCCCGCAGTCAGTACTAGTTTCCTCGCCTTATTTGCTTCCACAACGGAATGTGCAAGTGTCAACAGAGCTACCTGTTTGGAAAGTTTATCCGTGGCCACGATATGTACAAAAGCGGACTTGTGTCGCCTATAAGGGTGCCGTGCTATATGGCATAGTTTCAGCACAAGAATGAAGATAGATTGTCCATGGAAAATGCCCCCATGTAACTTAACCAAATTAACACTCATCCACGGACCTCTATGGTACACAGTTATGGATGCTGTCAGAAGTAAGCCAAGCAGTAAGGGTGTAACAATGGTTTCCCCTTTTCAAATGCAGTATCCAAATTAACACAAAAAACAAGGATGAAGACTTCTATTTGGTAAAATCGCCAATTGTACGAGCAGAGTTCTATTGCTAGTATAATATTAACATTGCCCAACATATCCTAAAAGTTCAACATTCAATCACATTACTAGTAGCTACTAATATTATTTAAATAGTCTGTACTTGCCATGTAGCCTACATATGTTGTAACACTGTTCGTGTGTGATACTGAACATGGATAGCAGATTGTACCAGCAGAGACTCCAATCAGGATCTCTACCGGTAGAGACTCTGATTGGAATTTCTGTTGACAGAGCCTGTGATCTAGCCTGGGTGCCATCCGATTTGTAATTATAACGGCAACGCAGAAAAAAACGGGGCTGCCGTTACAAATCGGATGGCATCCAGGCTACCTGTGATCCCGATTCTACCAGATCGGAGACTCTATATACCCTGGCATATAAATATGGGCAATTCTTATATGAATCGAATAATACATTGATCTGTTTTCTCCAAATGTAGTGACCTGTGCAGGTTGGCACACATGGCACACGATTGGACGAATTCGAACTGTTCAAACATACAGAACACTGCAGACATTCTTCTGGCGTTGTCTTAACCCAGAAACGCTTAGCCTACTTAATCCTTTAAGAAGACAAGAAGGAACGTCTTAAAGAAGACTGGGCTGTTTCAGAAGAAGAGCCAGGGAGACGTCAATGTACGGTACGGTTGACGGTCAAGACAAATGGGGGCTATTGTTCCGTGTTTACAGTCCCAGCGGCCGTGGTGTTCAGTCACACAACCAGGCTTCCTGTACAACATTGCCGACGCCCGTTTAACCTTACTTCCCATATAAACAACACAGAGTGGCGATACCGTTGGTAAACTCGCTAAATGTTAAAGGTATATGTAGTTATGGACGTAAGGAGAAGTAAAATTGGCCCTGAAAATCGACTGATAAAGATGGCAGTGGATGACGTAAAGTCGGAGATGTGACAGATACAGAAGGCGGCGGTGTGCGGATGACACCCATGCGGCGTACGCCGGCAGCATGTCCCGGTGTCTCTCCCCGCACATAGTCTGAATGACATGCTGGTCTGTACAGTACAACAGACGTGCTGCCTCACCTAGCCGTGGGCTCGAAGGAAGGCGGCACGGTCAGGATCTGCTGCTGCGCTTTGAGGCTGGAGCGTCGGGCGGCGGCGAAGATGATTCCTCCCGCTATCCGCTTGGGCTTGTCCGGTACCGCGTTCCCGGCGGGGTGGTGGATGCACATCGACATGTTTCTGTCACGTTGGTTTACCGTCTGCCTGTGGATGCCGGACCTGGGATGCCGGGTGCCCCTGTAGCCCTGCACTTCTGCCCCACGAGAATGCGACCCAGTCTTTATACATACCCCAATAACGTCACAACCGGAGATCACCTGATCGAGGTCAAATTTTCGAAGGACAAAATCCCAGGGAGTAATTTGTTTGGCTTAGGTTTTATAATTAGCCCAGATTAGGAGACAACACGGGCTCATCATTTGGACAATGATTTTCCCTCCGTCTCTTCGCACGGACGATTTAAGGGCCATGGGAAGAGTTTTAACGACCCGTGCCCCCGTCGCTATAAACCGCTTGGCTCTTTGTATCTATTTCTGTGGCTTCTCCAAATCAACAAGCACCGACAAGTTTATGGGGGCTTTGTTTGATTTGCTGTGGTACCAACTGTCGTCTGCGACCAAATGCGACACGGGGGTTAACCTTGTAGCCACTACAACGCCATATTCCTGGACTGGGACCGAATCCCTGGAGATATTATTGTAGATCTTATGTCATAGTATTTGGCCAATTCGAAAAAAGCAAGGTCAAATCTTGGCGTGTCCAACTTTTATTTTTGGTCCTATTTTACGTTCAATGTTTCGGATGTCTTGCTATTTTGGGGCGCAAATTGTTGGGACCAAAATAGCTGCCCCGCCCATGTTAGGGAAGCTACAGTCTTTTCGATTCTTTTTGGCGGAAAGGAGGAATATTTGGAGCAGAATTGTATCGACGTTCCCGTACGCAACTAATAGACGATTCAATCTCACTGAAGTTCGAAACAGAAAAATTGCTGAAAAAAAACAAGCTGTGTTGCCACAAGAATGGCGGGAATCCGCCCGGGGGTTGAAGTAGACGGGCGTGTATTTCGGGGCTGTTCTGGGACAGAAATAACCCCACGCAGGCCCGACACGTCATAATCCCGACACTTCACTTAACGCCGGACGGTTGACATGTAACTCCCGCTGGACGGGACCTGCGGTGACCCCTGTCGGTCACCCGGCGCTCACCCCTGGGAGATCCCGCTAGATCGGCGGCCCTCGGTACCCCGCCGGGCCAAGTTAGACCCGCGGCCGTGGGGCCCTCGGCAGATCACCGGGCCAAGTTATAGACCCGCGGCCGTGGGGCCCTCGGCAGATCACCGGGCCAAGTTAGACCCGTGGCCGGGCGGCTCTCGGCGCACCGCCACGCCAAGCTACACCGGTGGCTTGCCGGCCCTTGGCACACCACCACGCCAAGCTACACCGGTGGCCGGGCGGCCCTCGGCAGTTCTACAAATTTCCACCGGGACAAGCAAGATCTAGGCCCGCGGCCGGCGGCCCTTGGCACACCGCCGGACCAAGCTAGACCCGCGGCCTGGTAACACGAGTGAGGGACGGACGGAGGGACCCCGGCTGTTTTATCCACCACCCTGACCCAGAATCAGCGAAAATGAAGCTGCCGGCGGTTTTTCCCGCGCGACCTCAGCCGTAAATCACGGTACAAGTTTGTCCTGCAGGGGCGGGCATCGTCCAACTATGACGTCAGACCTGTCCAAACAACCTGCTGACATTTGGCGGGAAATAACTGACACGGAGGCTGCGGCTGGGTTCAAGTAGAAATATCAATACATTTGTATATGTATTAAATGCTAATGTTTAAAAATATTCAATAAACAAAAACAAAAATATAAATATTGATAGATAAATAAATAAATAAACAACTGACACGGAGGCCGCGGCTGGGTTCAAATAGAAATAACAATACATTTGTAAATGTATTAACTGCTAATTTATAAGAATGTTCAATAAACAAAAATATAAACATTGATAGATAAATAAATAAATAAATAAAGCCTCTCTATAAAGTTTGTTCCCTTGGATTATCCATTACACGTAGACAAATGTTAATTTCTTCGTAAGAAAAGTTCAACAAATTTCTATGATACGAACATTACCCAAAACAGTACATTTCCTTGACTCATTAGTCTATTTTGTATAAATATATTCATTGAGTATTGTATCTCTGATATTGAAAGATTACAAACAGTCAATAGTTGCTTTCCAATTATAGAGAACCTTGTATTCTTGAGGGCATTGGGTCATACACAACATGCTACCAACAAATAAAAATACACGATTAAATGACATTAAGAACATTTAGGAAGCACCGCAGACTAAACTACTATTAAATAACTTAGATAGTATTTTCCCCGTGTATGAAACATTTCAGGTTCTGTATGTTTTGTTTATATGGTAAACAACACGCATATGTTACATATCACGCATGTTTAACATGGTACTGGGTGCGTCTCTGTAAACACTGTACTAGCTCCATGGAAGTCACCGTTGCAATTAATTCATGGTCACCAGTCAAAGAAACGTAGCTTACGAGGCATATCTAGTTTCAAAGAACTGTACATACACTGTAGACTATATGTTTATTATGTTGCGTTTTAGTGATACAGAAGTGTTTCAGAAACCACATGTACATGAAAGCAATGAGGTTGAAAATGAGCTTCTAGATGTAACGTTACACTTTTGCAGAAAAGGTCTAGCTTCTAAGTGCAATAAGAAGAAGCTACGCAGTCTTCCATTTTAGCAGATGCGCCAGTATGCAGAAACATTGGGCCAAGATTAGGCCATGTTGAGTTGATTATATGGATGACATCATCTGGGAACACCAAAACTGATGCGAGCGTGCGAATAAAAAAAAAGGTTGGCAAAAACTTTCCTTTATTTATTTATTATGAAATCTACGTGGCCATGAACAAATGATTAAACACACAGTATGGTGTGGCGAATGAATGAATGAATGAATGAATGGATGGATGAATGAATGAATGAATCTTTATTGTACATAAATACCCCGCAGGGTTAACTACAAAGGAGTCGCTTCTACATACAAATATACATGATTAAGCTACTGGCGCTATATATATAATCTACGTAAATTCGAATTCTCTCCGTTTCTCTACATATAGACTCTTCATTTTCATTTCTTCGCATACGATTTACAGTATGGTTGAAAACTTTTTTTTTGGAAACGGACGAAAATTCATGCGCGCGTGGATGTCATGTATATGATCCAATCAACATGGCCTTAGGCCACAGCAAGTAATTTTTATGGATGACATCAGCGCGCGCATTGATTTTCGCCTGATTTTGGAAAGAAAAAAACCCAAGAAATCTTGTTGCCTTCTGACAGTGGTCAACATGCCCAAAATGGGCAAAGATGTCTGTTGCCATGCCGGAAGGTGGATGGCAGATAACTATGAACAGAGACAAGAAAAGGCTCTGATTTAATGTTTCGTTTCTTACTTTGATGCAGTGATATGTGATGCTGGCTGTGCATATGTGATGTTCCCACTGAATCAAAGCCATTTGTACAATGATTGAGTAAAATTTTGAAATGTAGGAACCTTGTTTTTTTTCCCGTCTTGTTTTTGTTCGCCCGCTCGCATTAGATTTGGAGTCTGCGGAGGATGTCATTAATAGAATTTATTTGCTGTAGCCTTAGTGTTATTTTACAGAGGCTATAAGGGACATAAAGATACACCAGAACGTGCGTGTGATGGGGCGGGGGCCATTACGTGATCCGCCGTATCCAATGACCAAGCCGTAATCCCCACATGATAGGGCGGCCACACCAGGATCAAAATAGTCGGCATGTACGCATGTTTGTCGTGTCGACTGATTAAATCGGGAAGTGTTGTTTTAAATCAGAGGATCACAACGTCGATCACGAGTCCACCAACGCTTCAGTTTGTGTCAGTTAGTTAATCCAATCACTTCCACTATTTTGGCAATTTTTAGAAGTTTACAAGTGAAGACAGAAGAGTTATAGGAGACATAGATAGAGGTAGCCGAGATACAGCCTCTTTCAAAGGCCTTGGAGTGCAGGGAAAATAAATATTGCCCAAACAGGCTGCAAATCTAACAACGTGGTTTGAAAAAAAGAGTAAAATTTAGCCAAATTCTAGGTAGAATTCGAATACTAGTAATATAATTCAACCCGTGATAGCCAGCGACAGTAGGGAGCATGAGCTGAGGTAACCACGTTAAGAACGCCCGGCCAAGGGAGTTAACCTCGCGCATATAAATAACCTTCCCGTGGACTGACTCTCCTGGCCAATTATTATTTCCCTTCAGTTTTTGCCGAACTCTGCGATCCTTATTTCCGTAGGAAGATCTGCTGGAGGCTATGCCAGAAGACTTTGCCGATTACGGAGTCACACACACAAATCACACAAATTTTCAACCCTATAGAACTTCCACTATGTTCCCAACATCCTAAGAAGTCTGGAAGAGAGACTATGAAAGCCACATGAATGGGATACCACAAGTGGTCCCTGCAGTAATTCCACCGGAACAACGAACACTGCTGACTCTAATCTCCAAGCAGATCTTTCGGTGGCTGCCATACAGTATCACAGTATGAAACTGGCCAGCCAGTATCCAATACGCCACCCCAAGTAAAAACAAAATACCAGGACAAAAAAGAGATAAGAAGCCTAAAACAAGTCAAAAATAAGCCGAAGCTCAAAAGCTCAAACCACTGCTAGGAGATTACGCTGACTCAAGCAATGAATCATCCAGTGCCACACCACTTGTATGCAACCGACTATTGCCAATTGTTATAAAACGTCCTTCGATGGAATAGTCTCAAAGCTATGCCTAAGTAATGTCATTCATATCACAAAATCACAATGATCATAAATCGACAGTACAAAGAGAAACGCCTGAAAGAATAACGCGAAGCTGTGTAAATCTTCGTCCGTATGTTTCATTTCTAAGCAGGAGAAGAAACAAGCGCTCTGACGTCCGCCAGAGAAAACCATTGACATGTCAGAAGCGCCAGCGCGCCAGGCGGCAGTCCAGACATGACAGCGGGCATACTTGTGTTGTCCCGCCGCAGACCTACCGTCACCTTCCCGTGCCCGGCAGGTCTGGGCTCATCCATCTCATCCTGACCGTCACAACGTTCAAGGTTACACCGCCGCCGTGACTGAAGTGCATCGGTCAGCAGAGACGGAATAGACTATATAAAGTCAAAGTCAATGTTTCTGTAAGTTAAGCACACACTACGTACCTAGGTTGGCACTGCGGTCTCTCCCAGCTAGTCGTCGCTAGTGGAGGTAGGAGAAGTTCAGTGTTATACGCTGAAGGAATCCTTTACAAGTAACCCTTACTAAAGCCTACGTCAAGTTTTCCGAGTCTTCCCGCCCCTACCACGCACGTAGACGGTGATTTAACGTCTGACTCACGCAGGATCTTCCCTTCTTCGCCCC